TGGATCAAAACATCGTGTCCTTGGTCAGTTACCAGTTGAAATACTCAAAGAGACACCGAAAATTGGAACCAACGGACGGACCATCCGAGACGTAGCTTTGGCCAACATTTGAAAGAGGTAATTTTCAAAATAAAAGCCAAATAATGTTCTTTCGAATGACAATAAATATTTCTAATTAAATTTGAAGTTCTGCATTTCTCTCTAAAAAAAAGTAGGGAATCTCGAAATGGATCACAGATAAGTACTGACATTTCTGTAGTCGATTTCAACCTACATATTATTCAAAATAAGTTTCTCAAATTTCACCACAAAATTTTTTTTAAGAAACTCAAATAATTCACGACATCCCTAATGCGGCGAGAAAATACGACGATTTTTGTACTAAATGAATTTATTTACAGAAACTTAATTTCTTTGCATTTTAACAAAATTTTAGAATAACCCTATCGTTAAAAAAGGTATTTATATTTAAATTTCCATATCAACTAGCTAGAAAATGAATATTAATTCTGATGCGAGCGTCACCTATGCCATAACATTTTTTCCAGTCCAACGAATTCAAAGCTTTTGCAATAATTTAACCACTTTTGGATTCACTGTTTACAATTTTTTTTTTTTTTTGTCTTACTGAAAATTCAGATTGCCAAACACGTCAACTTGTTTCTAACTAAAAGCAGTCGAATCATTTTCCATCTAAGTAAGTTCGCTCGTAGCAACCTAGCAACAGCTTGGCGTGGCGAGCATCATCTGTTCGCTGTATACGTGCACAAACTGATTATCGACAGCCGTTACGAAGCTGGGTGGCTGGCGGGGTGGCGCACTAAGTACGTTCGGTGCTTACCGCAAAGGCAGACGGCAATTTTCGTTTGGCCGATTTGTATGGAGCAGCATAGATTTATTTGGATTTGTGGATTTCTATATTCATGATATTTGCTTTACTAACAGCAGTCTTATTTGCAAAACATGGTTTTCGTGCGCCTGTACATACATACATATGTATGATGTCTTGTGCGTACGCGCTTACTTATTGCCCGTTGACTAATGTTGTTCTCTGTCGCTCTTATGGCGCTTTATCGTCAAAGTGTGTACTTGTTGTTGTTTGTTATTACTATTTTTTTTTTTTTTTTTTTTTTTTTTTTTTTTTTTTTTTTTTTTTTTTTTTTTTTTTTTTTTTTTTTTTTTTTTTTTTTTTTTTGGTTTTGCTTTCCTTTGTGGTTGACATTTCATTTTGTTGCTTTTGTTATTGCTATTTTGATTGAAGATTGCTTTGTTGCTGACAGATAACATTGTTGTTGTAGCTACTGCTATTGCTTGTCTAATTTAATGTTATTTCTTGTCAACACTGCCATTGTGACGTCGAGGCAGCGTGCTCACTCACTCAGCGCATACACTTCAAAGCAAACATTTATTTGCATTTCGGAATTCGTTCAGATATTTTCCTTTGATTTGTAATGGAAAACCTCAATTCTATTTAATTGATATTAAATTTTTTTGAGCAACCCTCTTAGCAGTGTCAAGTGTTTTGATAGCAGGGTGGTATCGTGGAAAAGAGTCAAATTAAAAATTAATTGAAAGAATGAGATAAATGTGTATGCTTGTGAGGCTGAATTCGTGAAATGAATTCGTGCCTTTTGAAAAACTAGTACATTTTGTAAAAAATACTGGTAAATTATGTAAAAAAATACTGGTACATTTTGTAAAAAATACTAGTTATGTAAGGAAGGTGCTAGTACATTTTGAAAAATACTGGTAAATTTTGTAAGAGATACTAGTACATTTTCTAAAAATAGTAGTAAAACTTAATAAAAAAGACTTTAAGACTTGGTAAAAATACTGGTAAGTAAGCAGACTTTGTAAAAATACTGGTAAGTTCTGTAAAAAAATGCTGGTATTTTTTTAAATACTGCTAATTTTTATTACTAGTAATTTCTTTTTTTAAATAATGTAAATCAAGAATTCAACTGTTGTTACATTTACAAAAGATGGCAACGCTTTATTTAATTTTACTCAAAAATGCTGGCAAGTTTTATTATAAGTATTTGTTTTCATGAAATAAAGAACTTATTGCTAATGTTTTTAGGTGGCAACTCTATAGAAATGGTTTTCGTAATTTTGATCATGCCTCTTATAAATAATTAAAAAATACTGGTATATTTAAGTGAAAATAATGTATGCAAAAATACTGCATTAAGAAAATTAACCGAACTGCTATTTTTAAATTCCATGAGTGGCAACTCTTTAAATATTTTTTAATTCTGGTATATTTTTTACAAAAATATTTTATTCACAATTACTACTTTTTTAACGATTCGGAACTTCCTCATATTATTTTTGCATAGATAGCAACCCTTTTAAACATTTTTTTTTTTAATATTCTGGCATTGCTTTCAAAGATGTATAATGTTTTTTGCATACGTGGCAACTCTTTCTATATCACTTTCATAACTAACTAGATAACTGGATTATTTTATTCATAAATACTGGTGTATTGTTGTGTCTTGTTGAAATAAAGAAACTGCAATTTAATTTATTTATCATATGTAGCAACGCTGTATGAATTAAGCAAATTTTCAATGTTCATATTGGCGCAAGAATTTGCAAATCGAATGCAATAAACCGACGAACGGAATTCAATGCTCCGAATTACTATCGTAAAATATCGTGTTCTATTGGCTGCCAGTGAGGTACACAATTTCGGCAAATTACGGATTACAAAATTTCTCTTGAGATATAAAATTCCAGATGCGAACATCAAATTTCGAAAGTTGCGTATAAATCAAAAGTGATTTGCTTTTGTTGTATTCAAGTGATTGCCACAACACGCTGCACATACCAAATTTTCTAACGGGCCGCATTTGCGAAACGAGAGTACGAGTACAGACAGGCTTGTGTAATTGCAGAATTGCTGGCGTATGGTGGTTGTACTGTGCGAAAATAGTGTGGCTGAGTGCTTTTGCCGACAGAGAAATGTATTTCAACTATGCCATTCTTAGAATAAATAAATACATACATAAATTAGACAGAGTTATGTGCTGTCTGTGTATGTCGAGAAAGCTATTGATGGGTGCAAAATATTACACTGTCGTACACTATTTAACAACATTTTGTAAAGCGCAAGTGACTTAATAGATTTTTGATAAAAAAAAATTCGATTGAGGATGGAAATGGTATAAAATTTAAAGATTTTTTTTTGAGTTAATGGAGACAAATGAATATGAAAAAAATGAAACTTTATATAATATACAYATAATAATAATTAGAAGAAATTGATTATGAGCAGAATTTTGTTTGCAGAATATAGGTATGTATTAAAAACTAATAAAAAAAATTAGAATTTAATTTAAAAATTTCTAACATACAATAATTTATTCATACATTTTTAAGTTTTAAAATAAATTTAAGGTTCAAAATTAACATTTTTTTTGTTTTATTTCAAAAAATATAATATATACTTAATGAATCTTTTTAGAATTTTACCGAGAATATTGATATAAATAAACTTTTTCAAACTTTTTTCAGCAGCCAATTGCTGCGACTATGGCTCCTAATCAATACCTGCTTTCTGTTACCAGGTGTTGTTAATTGAAATTCTGCAGACTGTTAGAATATCATGTTATGCAAAGCAATAAATTTATGCTAGAAAGGGTACAGACGAGTATAATAACAAGAAATTACAATACGGTCCAAAACAATATTTGTTTTATGTGTTTTTTATTGTTGTTTACATTTTTTTCTTTCACACTCTTTTCGTGTGTCTCATAAGTTATTATATGTACATTTGTAAATGTATGTGTGTATATGCATGTGTATACGATTTTTCTAATTAATACTAATATGTGGGTGCGGCTAACACGGTGGCTAGACAGCAGCAAGATAATTAAAATTTTTGGCAAATCAAAAGGTACAAGTTGGTGCATGGTTTATACGCAGTAGGAAAACAAAAGAAAAAATATTTGAATTACAATATTGAAATTTTTAATTTAATGTTATAATTATGAAATTAAATTTTTATCAATTGTATAAAAAACAAAAATAAAAATGTTTGACAAATGAAAAAGAAAACAACAACATGAAAACTAGAAAAATTATTTTAATTTTGAAATTTAAATTTTTCGGGTGCGGTAAAAAAATTATTAAAATTTTTGGCAAATCAAAAGGTACAAAGAAATTACTTTAATTATAATATTCAGACTGTTTTTTAATTTTGAAACTTAATTTTTCAAAATGCATAAAATAGTAATCATTAAATATTTTATTTAGAGTAAAACT